CCAGGAAAACCATAATTATATGTTGCGTTCAAGCCCATGGCTACTCCCGCATATGATAGTTCGTCTGTAATTTAATTTTCTACTATATAGAAAATTAAATTGCTATTGATAATTAGCCTATTTTATCCCCCCAAAAGTTCTTATGGATGTAAAAATGTTCCATGTAAACTTTTAGGGTTCTAGGTGTTATATATTACCAGTTATACGAATTTTTGTATTTAATTTGTATAGGAGTGGCTACGACCACTATAGTTAGTCCACTTATTCTTCAACCACATGTTCATTTTGATACTAAATATACGTTGAGGACTGATACCTGCTGTAGTTACCCATATATAGGAACTTGAGTGTTTAATTCATATGGAAAATACAACGCCCACTATACACCTATTTTTTTTCTAAATATCTCTAATGGTTTCCAGACATACAAATTTTTGTATTTAAGTCATATGTTTCCCTATATATTCCTATATGTAACATTTTTCCTATTTAATTCATATGGGCGTTGACATGCCCCTTTTGCTAGTTCGGTTATTTTTTTCCCCCAATGGTTTCCCAGATATACGAATTTTTGTATTTAATTTATTTAATTTATATGGGAGGGACCACGCTCCTATAATCAGACAATTTATTAGACAAATGTTTATTGGACGTCCAATATTTGTTTTCTTCCCGAGTGTTCCTATATGTGTCAAAGCTGTCCTTTAGGGAAAAAGAAATGTACACGCCTGGTACCAAATTGACACCAAACTGTTTATAATTTTTCAATACCATCCGTTGTCAAACAACACTATGTAATGTTGACAACATTGCAACAATTCGTTGTCGAAATCTTAATTTAATACACATCCGTTGTCTAAATGTTAATAAACGTGGTAAGCTCACTGTTGACAAACAATTCGTTGCCAATAGTGAGCTTACCACGTTTGTTAACATTTAGACAACGGATGTGTATAAAATTTAGATTTCGACAACGAACATACATAGTGTTGTCGTATATGCTTTGACAACGGATGTTATTGAAAAATTATAAACTCTTTGGTGTCAATTTCGTACCAGGCGTGTATATTTCCTTTTCCCTCTGTGTACTTGTTCCAGTTACCGAGATGATTTTTAATAGTCATTTAGTAAGTGGGCGTGGCACCTCGCTCACTTGCAATATAAAAAGTATGCTATTTTTCCTTCAAAAATAAAACATACCCTGAAAAAGTTATTGGAGTACATAATCCATTTAGGTAATACCGAAACTACTGCCCTGTTACGTAAACGAAAAAAACCCATTTCGGTTAAACTTAATGTGGTTTATGATATATTCATATCAGATCATTATATTAAGTAAATTTATGTAAAAATTTGAAAAAAAAAATTAACATTAACATGACATGAATATTACTTGGTGTGAAATATGACAAAAAAAAATTAAAAACCTAACTAACCGAATTTGAAAAATGATATCTTAGAATGAGCTAAAGTTTTATTTCGATGGGTACATCAGTACTTTACTTTTTCTCCATACAAATGGGGTTTCCTTAATGTATGTATATAATCGGTTACGTTGAAGTCGCGTAAACACGATTTATTTATACTTCAACAGCGTAGGCTTGTATTAACATTTACATAAACAGATTTCTTTTATAAATATATTTATAACCGTGCTGACGATAAGAATGACATTGTATTAAAATGTAATTTGTGATTCTTTTTTTTTCCATCCTTTTGTCTTTGTAACTTTACCCTTTTAAATCTAAAAAACCTCATAACACACAGTTATGTAATGTCATTGTCCGAACAAAAAAATATATACATAAATGAAATTATGTGCGTTTGGTTGAATGAATTCGGTGGTAGCTATACGTTAACATATGTATGTCTGTATACATATATCTTAAATATAAATGTTAAAGTCATCAAAGTCATCATTCTGGGTTGTAACTTTTGTTATGCTAATAATGTTAAAAAAAATTTTTTTTGTTTACATGCTGCTAGCAGCTAGCTAGAACTATTTTTAGTATTTTGTATCTTTAAGTTTTGTTTATGTTTGAACTTTAATAAACTTCTTCAGTTTGAAGTTTCATAATGAATTTATTAATTCTTTTTTATTTTTCTTTCGCTTTAAGCACTTTGTGGTTTGTTTGTTTGTTTTTGTTAAAATAAAGTTTTTATAAAAATATACATATGTATGTATTTTAGTTTTTTAGAAAATACAAATATGTTAATAAAAATATATTTACTTTATAACTGTTTTTTTCCAGATTAAGGAAAGCGATTAGAATAGAATTATTAACATAATTCTATTCTAATAGTTTTTCACTTTTTTATATGAATAAAAATTGTTATGAGAATTGAGTTTTTATTTCATTCAATCTACTTTTATTAAAAATTTCCGTTAGTTTATAAATTAATTTTAAAGTTTTATTTTTCTTGGTAGTTTGAAAAATTGTAAATGTTGAAAATATTTGTATTTAAAAATTATAAATTTTTGAAAATTATATGAAAGACTAAACCCCGCAGAATTTTTTATAGATTCTCTTTTTAGAACAACTAAATTATTTCGAAATTATTTTTATAAATGTTGAGTCGATTTTATAAGGTCTATTATAGAAATTTGCAACTTGAACAGTTTGCTTTTAAAGCACAGAACACTGGGGGGATTATTTGGGAATTGACACAAATTTGATCTAAATATGTTCAAAAGAATGTCGGTAAGTCTACACAGAGAGTAAGTCAATGCTGACTTGGAAGATTATTTAAAGTTTTCATTTAAAACTTAATACGAAAAGCATAAATTACTTTTAATTATAACAAGTAAGAGTGTTATATTCGGCTATGCCGAATCTTATATACCCACCATCACACCTCGTTTGACTCGAATAAAACTTACTTATGTCGAATTTCATCTATATACTCGTATATTTAGGCCAGTTATAAGGGTTAAAGTAATTTTCTGAAGGGGACCTTTTATATACCCCCATCTTTTTTGATGGTGGGTATAATAAAAATAAATATTTATTTTCATTATTTACAAAACTTTTGCATCTAATCATAGAATTTAATTCAGTAATAAATCAAATTATAAACTTAACAAACTGTCTATGAAGTTAGCATTTAACAATATAATTTTGCGTGATTATTATTTTTGTTTAAAACCAAATAAAACACAAAAAAAACATTTTTGTAGACTTGTTTTTCCAACGAACAGAAGGGTTTAAAGAAAATAAAATTGACATTTTTCAAGACCTTTTGTGTAATTTGTTGGAAAAAATAAATATAATTATTATATAATTGGTCATTATTTAGTTGAAAATGTTTTTGACATTGAAAACATAATATCTTCTTTATATAATCAAGATGGTTTTATAAAAAAAAAAAGAACAATGTATAGTCGGGCATGATCGACCATATGATAATCTACACCAATGAGTATGTTAAAAATGTGGATTATTTTTCTAATAATAAAGCATTTTACCTTAATTCCGAAATATTTCAAGTAATTTCTTAAGGGAACTTTGTATCGGGGCTAGGATCAAAAAAGGCCCTATCATTACGAATGTTCGCAGTATCGTTTAAACTTATAAAAAAACAAAGATTTGCCAGTTTTTGGAGAGTTACAAGAACATTATACATATATGAGCTCAATAGCACTATTCGGGAGGTACGGTTGTATGGACGCTAAACGAAATAATGGACTGATTTAAATAATTTTCAAAAGAAAAGTACATATGTGCCAAATTTAATCAAATTATCTTGAAATTGCGATTTGTTGCGTGTGCACAAAGTTTACATGAGCACTCAGACAGACAGGCGGACATATCTTAATTGAGAGTGATGCTAGATTTAGCGCCTTTTAACAATCCAAAAGTCGCATTTTTTCTTCTTAGCGCTTTTTTGGAAAAAGGCGCTAAATTAGCGCGTTTTTCAAGAAATGAAAAATCTTTTTAATAACATAAAATTATTCTAGTTTAACAATAAAGATAAAACAGAATAATTTTAGACAGTACTCTGCCGTACAAATTTATTAAAGTTCCTTTTTCTAAACTTTCCATATTATGAGTAATTCAAAGATCTTTTAGTGAGATTAGTTATTTTAAAACTTCAAAACTAAAATAAAACATATTCACCTCTTTCGCCAAAAGAATTGAAATTTGTTTCTTCTTAAATTTTCATTCCCTTCGAAGGGAAAATTGATTTCGTGAAATTCCACAACAGTTGATTTTGTTCGTAACAGCTTTTTATTGATTAGAAAATTCTATAAAAAATTCACAACGAGGGAAGCTTTTCACGTCAAAAAAGGGAAAAGTTGTAAATTAACTTAATTTTAAGATAGGTTAATTTGAACTTAAAATTAAAATTGCATTATTTTTTTATAACTTCACTGTGAAGGAAACAATTACTTGACGATTATTTCAGTTTTTTCACAAAGTTTTGGCTCTTGGTATTTTTGGAAATGAAGAGTTTAATTCAAATTTATTATGGGGAATTTCAAAAAATCTCTTTGACTAGTTATTGAGATCTTGATCGATGATAGCAATTAGTCATTGAATAAGAAAATCGAACATTTTTGTATTAACCTTAATTTTTTAAATTTCGTTCCCGAATCAAAATTCCAATTAAGGAGGAATTTTTTAATAAACAAATTTTAGCAAAATACTATATTTTTTAAGACTGTGTAAAAATATAATTTTAGCGCTTTTTAGTGCGTTTTGAGTGGATGGACCGCGCGTTTTAGTATAAAACAGTTGACAACACTGCGTTTGGTATACATTAAGGTATTTTTGGGTGTTACAAACATCAGCACAAACGCATAATACCCTTCCCACTGTAATGGTGTAGGGTATAATTATTGCAACTTAAAATACTTAAATTTGAAAAATGACTTTATTTGTGCCGTGATTTGTGTCAAAAACACAATTTTCTTTAATTTTATAATAAAACATATGTATGTATTTTTGTTTACCAAAAAAAAAAAACTAAAACTAATTAAAAATTTTTCTTTTTTGCAGTTAAAAAATGCATTAAAATTACTTTAGGTAAGTTAAATAAATATTTAATTTGTATTTGTTATATTTTTTAAACTTTCAAATAAATTTTTTTATTGTTTCAATGAATAAAAAAATACAAACAAGTTATTTCCAAAATATAAATTATTTTCGTTCAATGTATACGTAGCTATGCAAATATTGTTATTTATTTAAAACATGCAATATTTTGGATTAAATTGAAACCTTTTGATTTATTTTATGCTAAATATAAGTACATATACATTAGGGTTATAACCAGTAGTGTTCTAACAACGAAAACATTTAAATCGGGTCATATTGGTGGGGATTGGGTTAAATGTGTGTGGATTTGTGTTTCGGGGGGTACGGTTATATGGGGGCTATACGAAATAATGGACCTTGGGACAAAAGAAGAGTATGTGCCAATTATTTAACAAATTATCTTGAAAATTGCGACCTGTAGAGTGCGCACAAGATTTACATTTACATACAGACGGACATAGCTAAATTGGTGTACTTTAATGCGGGTGATGGACCAATATTTTTGGGTGTTACAAACATCAGCTCAAACGCATAACACACTATAGTGGTGTAGGGTTTAAAAAGAAATGGAAGTGAAGTTGTGATCATATAAGTATAGTTTGTATTGGAAGTAAGTCACGACCAGTATTATAAGAACAAAACTATATAAGGATCCCAATAAAAGATCTCCTTCAGAAAATAACTTTAACACTCATAACTGGCTTAATGATGGCAGTATTCGAAATTCCCCCTTACCAAATCTGCCTATATCCCATATTAGGTCCTTTTCCAAATGTGACTCAATAATGAACCGGGTTCTATAGAATTAAAAGAGTTAAAATAAATAATTTTAATTCTGTAGAGCTCGATCCATAATTGTTGTGCGCTCCCTTATCAGTGCAAATAAATTTCCCCAGATGGGAATCGAACCCACGATATCTGGTCTTGCAGAGTAGAACACTAACCACTAACCTACCCGATGCCAAATAGATATGGGGGATACCATGTCAAGTGACCCAGCTTTTGAAACTGATGTCTTTTGATCGGGGTGAAAGTGGCATCAATGTTAGTCCTACTGGATAGTAGTTTAGACTACGGTTCTATAAATCGACTTTCGAATAATCGAACAATCGACTTTTTGTCGAAAAAAGTCGAAAAGTCGAAGTCGACTATTTTGTTCCAAAAAAGTCGATAACTCGACTATCGTCTATGAAAAAGGTCGAAAAGTCGACTTTGTAAATAAAAGTCGAAAAGTCAAAAAATCGGAAAGTCGAAAAAAGTCGAAAAGTCGAAAAAAGTTGAAAAGTCGATAAGTCGAAAAAAGTCGAAAAAAGTCGAAAAGTCGGAAAAAGTCGAAAAGTCGGAAAAAGTCGAAAAGTCGGAAAAAGTCGAAAAGTCGAAAAGAGTCAAAAATTTTAAAAAAGTGGAAAAGAGGTCAAAAACTCTAAAATAGTCGGAAAAACTCGAAAAAAGTAAAAAAATAGTCGAAAAAAAGTCGAAATAAATCGAAAATAGTCAAAAAGTCGTAAAAAATCAAAAAGTCGAAAAGTCGGAAAAAGTCGAAAAGTCGGAAAAAGTCGAAAAGTCGGAAAAAGTCGAAAAAAGTCGAAAAAAGTCGAAAAGTCGAAAAGTCGGAAAAAGTCGAAAAGTCGAAAAAAGTCGAAAAGTCGGAAAAAGTCGAAAAGTCGGAAAAAGTCGGAAAAAGTCGGAAAAAGTCGAAAAGTCGGAAAAAGTCGAAAAGTCGACCATTTATAAAATACTAAAAGTCGAAAAGTCGACTTTTAAATAAATGAAAAAGTCGAAAAGTCGACTTTTCATAAAATGGAAAAGTCGACTTTTCGTTTCAACTATAGAACCCTAGTTTAGACACAATTTTTCAACTACTTTCCAACATTAGAGCAAATCGAAAGACATCAAAAGTTGGGTCACTTGACATGAAATCACCCATATATCAAATAAATATAATATTCTGAAATTTACTTCAAATTTTATGTCACATAATTTGATAATTGGTATACATTTAATTATATTGCTTGTTTTTATATTTAAAATTTTTATTTGAAAAAATGTTTTCTTCCACCTTGTTTTCGTATGCTGAATAATTTGAATTCATGGCACATTTTCTACAAAAACTTTTTAAGCGATGTTATGAACTCGCTTTTTTCTTGGTGTCGTTTTAATTATACATTAATAATCATTAATTAAAAATAAAACAATTACCTGTGGTATTGATGTAAAATCTTAAAGTATTTCAACTGCATTTCATTTATTTAAATAAAAGTTGTATTATAGCACATCTGTTACTTTCTATTTTTATATAATTTTATTTATTGACTTAATTAACCGTTGCCATGTTAAAACATTTTTTAAATTTACTGAATTATTGCATTTAAAAAAAGTAAGAAATTATAGTTGGAGAAGTGCAAGTGCGACCATTGATTTTTACCCCTTTATTATGCATATGTGTTGACAATTGTAAAGTACAAACATACCTACATAAATATAGATTACGAACCCATCTTACATACATACATACATACATACATACATACATACATACATACATACATACATACATACATACATACATACATACATACATACATACATACATACATACATACATACATACATACATACATACATACATACATACATACATACATACATACATACATACATAACATACATACATACATACATACATACATACATACATACATACATACATACATACATACATACATACATACATACATACATACATACATACATACATACATACATACATACATACATACATACATACATACATACATACATACATACATACATACATACATACATACATACATACATACATACATACATACATACATACATACATACATACAAACATACATACATACATACATACATACATACATACATACATACATACATACATACATACATACATACATACATACATATGTGATTGGCAAAGTCAGAGGCTATATAAATTGGTTGTATGTAATCGGTTCATGATTTTACCCAACTCCACACAATCGAGTTTGACGAATATGATTTTTAAGAGTATTTCTCTAATAATATATTTATGTATTAGTATCTACCAACATTTATATAGTATGGTCCAGCATTTTGTAATTATTGGTACATGATGGAGCTTGGTACCTATGTTATATCCCCCAAAGTGGATTTTTGGGAAAAATCACTGAAATGTGTATCAATACATATACACAACATGCGTAACATTGTTAGAAATTCCGTGACTATCAGCGGGTATAGCCTTCATATAAGGACTTTTTAAAATCAATGGTTTTGGAGTATGCCCGACTATAATTTTTCTTTGTTATAAATTTATAAATAGAAAATTACCATTTACCACAAATTTTATTAAAAATTCACCAAAACAGAAATATTCATTATAATTTCCACAAAAACCACAATTACGTACATAGAAAAACACTTTATAAACACTTCACTATTGATTGAATATTTTAATTTTATAAATTCACTATTTAAAAAAATATATATTTAACAATTTTAGCAATATTAATTTTATATAACTATTGCGATCTTAACCACGGCATACATAATTAAAACTGAATAAAATTATAAAAAGAAGAAAAGTAAAATCAATACGCAAAAATGTAAATAACGGTTTATTCAATTCTTTTGGTTATTGTTAGTGTAATTTGTATAGAGTGCAAAGTAGAAACCAGAAAATATATAGGGAGAGGGAGAGAGACGATGAGAAAATAATACAAAAACAAGTTGTATTAAAATATTTTATTATTTACATCTTCGCTGCAATTATGTACTCTTATTAAGTATGTATAAAAATAACAATTTCTTTTATATAAAAACTCTTTCATGTAGAATTTTAATATGATAAATATTTCTTGTTTGACAACTTTTAATAAAATATACATACATAACACACTTTCTTTTTATAAAAATAAATCCTTTTAATTAAATTTTTATTTTTAATGTTAATTGACGCGTGTAATTTTATAAATTTTTGTCGTAATTAAAAGAATTAACACAGTGATTTTGAAAAGGGCATAAGTCCATTAAAAAAAAATCTTTTAAGGAGAAACAAAAATATCTTTGGTTTAAAAACATTATACCTATGTAGCTAAATAAGTTAAACACTGATAGACATGTTGATTACAATACAATTAATAACATATTATAGATTTTTTGTTAATAAACCGATATTTTGTGATAATATTTTTGGACTTATTCCCTTTTCAAACTTTTACAATTTTCAATCGATTTATGTATTTTATATATTGTTGGAAAGATAATCGAATAAGTATTCCAACTTTTCACCTTAATAAGCTAAAAATATTATTTTAGTGGTAATTTTACCATTTGTACCATTGTACCAACTTTCACTTAGCTATCTAAAATTCCCCAGTTTGCTAATTTTTTCGACAAATTTTCCTGGGGTAATACACCCGCCATCAAATCATATGCCGTAAAAGGAATGCTTTATTATAAATAAAATTTGATATTTAAGAAATGATATTTTCCGACCCTATGAAGTATATATATTATGGATTCTTATAGATATAGGAGTCGATTTAGCCATGTCCGTCCGACATGTATGTGTATGTTGTATATATCTGTGAGTTCCAAATTTTCAATAATTCTATCAAGCATGTTTTCGGGAAGAACGCTATTAAAACTCAATAAAATCGATCTGTAAATAACGGAGGAATGTGTAAAAATCCGAGACTTTGAGCAGGCTTTAACAAAAAAATAACCACACACATGGTAAGTTTTGTTCTTAGTTTGCTTTTTTATAAAAACAAAACAGTGCAAGAATGAAACTGTATGTTGTTATTGTCTAAAAACATGTAATTAACAATTTGGTACTTTTTAGTTCTTCAAAAGGTACATTTAGAATTTTGAAGCTGGATCCATTACATTAAGCATATAGAGCCCAAAGTAAAGGAAAACCTTTAAAAATGGACTTTTTGGTACTTTATCGTTCTTGA